CTCCGGGCGGCCCGGACCTCGTTAGAAACTGTCGGCCGCCCTGTGTGCAGTGCCCTCGTCGCGTGTCACCCGCGCCTGGCCAAGGCTGCCCTCATGCAGGCCTTCGGGGTGTCTTGCTTTTATCACAGGATTGGCATTCCCTTCCCAAGTGCCTGCAGTCGCTTTTCAGCCTCTCCACGGTCACTTCCTTGGTGGAATCGGGGCCGTTTGCCTGCCCTGCGTTTCCAGTCGTGTCCCTAAAGTATCAGTGTAATCCGGGGCCCAGAACTCAAAGGAGAAGGGAAACAGCAGCATTGTTGAAAGCGTGTTTATTGGAATTTTTAAAAGCTTGGGAAGATGTGAACGACCGAGTTGTCCCGGCCACCCTCATGCAGTACTCTGCCCCTTGTCCCTGCACGCATGGTTAACTTTGGGTTTGGGGATTGGCAGGTAAGGTGGAAAATCGGACCTAGGGGAAAGTATGTATTCATATTTACATACGAATTGCCAGTTTAGGTTGGAGATCAGTGGAACCCTAGAAAGGGACATTTAAACAAAAACCTAGTTAATTATTCAGTAAGCACTGTTGAGCACCTGTTCCAAGCGCTGGGGAATCAACAGTGAGCAAAACAAGCGCCTGCCCTAGGGGGGTTTCAGTCTCCTGGGACTAACGCAGGTAAACCTGGGAAAGATTGGGAAGAGTATCCTGTGGGAACTTGATACAAGGCCTCAATCATGAATGAGGTGATTTTTGTTTTTGCTTTGTTTTTGCTTTTTGGAGGGATTTTTAGAGAGATGGGGTAGATTTGAGGGGCTATGTGTATGTGTGCACTTTTTGTTGGAGAGACTTCTGAAATGGTAACAGTTGTGTAGGAGAGACAAGACCATTACACTTTATTTTCATCCCTTAATTCAGGAATTCTATAGTTATTATTTTGTGGAACTTTGCAAATAGAGAGAGAGAGGCAAAAAGCTACATACTGACTTTCCCTTTCAAGTATTTAGAGCTTTATAGGGACACGAATGTGTCAAAAGAGAACATGTTCACGGTAGAAAGTTCCAGTGCCATGAAAAAGCACCATGAGGTACCCCAGGAGGGAGACATTACTACTAAGATTGGGCAGAGGGGGCACTCCAGTCAGTAGAGTCCTCAGGAGAGGTAGTATTTGCCCTGGGCCGCGAGAGGATCTGGAAATACCAAGATGGGCAAAGTGCTTTTTAGAGAAAAAAAAAGGCTGTGCTCTAAGGAAGATCTGCAGTTGAAGAATGCTTCTGTGCGAGTTAATAAATTCTTGCTAGTCCAAGAATTTTTGGACTTCATCTTGAAGGTGGTAGAAAGCCTTAATTCTTCAGCAAGAAAATAAAAAAAGAAAATGAAAAGGAAGAAAACGGTGTTCCAGGAAAATTAATATGGCAGCGGGAATAGCAGTAGATTTGTTATGGTTCAGTAAGCTCCTGGAGACCCGAATTTAGTACTGGCAGCAGAAGTGAAAACGTGGTCAGGTGCCAGGAGAGGCCTGCTGATGGCTGGGATGCAGGAGCAGGGAAGCACTTAGTGGGGGCAGAGTACACCTGATAACAGAGTGTGTCCCTTACTGAAAGGAAGTGCCGAACACGGAGCTTTTGGGGGACTCGTCATAATCTCAGTGTTACTTAGAGCTGACTTTGGGGTACCATCAGGCCATTGAAAACGTGGGATTAGAATGGAAAAGAGACGGCAGCGGGGGTAAAACGTACCCACTTACCTGCCTAGAGCTGAGAGTTGGAAACATGGTATGTATAAGATTCCCGAGGGCGAAGTTGGTAACTGCACCAAAGAAGGCAGCCGAGGGTACCTGGGCAATACCAGCGACGGGGACGAGCCGGGAAGCCAGAGGAGCAGGGAGGCAGAGAGGAGGGAAGCCAGGAAAGTCGAGTATGACAGGACTCGGGGAAGCTTTACGAGAGGAAGCCGGTATGACTTCGGTTGGCCAGATTTACTGGTGCCCACTGCCCCGCCAGCACACCACCGGACACAGGAGTGACAGCAGGAGGTAAAACCAACCCAGTTCCTGGTCCATTCTAATGAGAAAGACAGATACTGTGTATAACATGAACAGTGATGCATATTACGAATCAGTCCAGAATGTTCTCAGGGCATTTGATGGTGAGACTTCTAATTGTATTGACTGCAGAAAAGACAGACTTGGAGGACGACTGAGATGGCGCTGGGGTTGGGTGCTCCAGCCATGTGCTGTGTAAACGAGGTGCCGAAGGACTCGAGGTAGTTATGCGGCGGTCAGGGAGAGGACAGTAGCCAGGGTACGAGGTGACACTTACACACATGGTGGGTGCCCTCGTAATGCTTTGCCTGTGTCCCTAGGTCAGGAAGGATGGTAGAGACCTTGTAGAGAGCTTATTCCTTGACCTTGGACTGTGAGAAATGATAAAAGTATTTTAAACAGGTGGGTACAACTTGGGCAGGACTACAGTGGCTGTAGGAGACCAGTCATTCTATGGCAGCGGGCCAGGTGGTAGGTGATTTTAGGTTGGTCTAGGCTGGGTGTGGCGTGGATTGAAAAGGTAAATGGGTTTGAGATTATTTTTTTCCTTTGGAGAGATTCTCCTTTGGAGGATGGGTGTGCTCACTGGGGAGACAGACACAGAGACAGAAAGTGAGAAATCACCCCCCAGGGGGTGTGGCCACACGCTATCCCTTCTCCTCCATTATCCTCTTGGGATTTTGGGCACGCACGCACATGTGCTCGGCATGAGTTTTACACTATCAGGTTTGGGACTCTAACGGGGCAGTTACCTGAGAGTCCAGCAACGTAACCGTTATGCCATCTGCTGGTTCCAAGAGTTTGAGATGTATTTAAGAAGTTTGGCAACTGAACTGGGGACAAGAGCTGAAGAAACGGGACAGTTAAAGCTGATTTCCAGGCGGCTGGCTGGAGGAAGGGAGTAAATATTTTGGAAGAGGGAGTACTGGAGAAAGCTGGCTGGGAGAACAGGGTGACCCTGTCAGGGCACGTTCATAGGAGGCACCCGTGGGATGCCCAGTCAGGATGGCAGTTCCATCTCAAGAGAGAGGCATGTGCTGGAGAGGACGATTATAATCACTGGCAGAAAACCGGAGATCCGATCGTGTGTGATGGTAGTTCACACATGGACTACCCAGAGTGGGTCAGCGTTGCCTGGGCCCTGGCCCCAGGATTTTTCCTTCAGTAGGTCTGCAGTTTGCATTTCTGACAAGTCCCGGGGGATACCTATGCAGCTGAAAAAGAGAACACATTTTGGGAAAAAGAATAAGTCAAGAAGAAGATAGGAGGATCCTCTAAGGAAGGCTGGGAAAGTGGTATTTATCATGTTCACGTAAGATTGGAATGCCTTTGGTGAGAGCATTTTCACAGAATGGTGGGACAAAGACCAAATTGCTGCGGAGACAGACGAAATGCAGAAAAAGAATACGGAAAGCAGATGACTTTCTGAAGAAGATCTGTTGTAGAAGGGAGAGGAGGTGACACTGGTGACTCCGAGGACACCAGCTGCTCACATTGCCTCGGCTGGCTCGGAGTGTGGATGCCGCCGGGGGAGATGGCGGCGGGGCCCAAGTCCAGGAAGTTGTGAAACTAGCGCTGTGGGACAGGGGATCAGAGCTAGAAGAGAGCACTGAGGGTGGACCAGGGCACGACAGATGAAAGGGAAGTAAATGATGCGGGGCATCGAGAAGGTTGCGGAGAGGTGCCACAGGTAGTTTCTCCCGACCACAGGGTCCTCTTCCATCGGCAACACCACTGCCACGTCCCCAGGTCGGTAACAGTTTTAAAGTGGTAAATATTAATTTTCTCCAATTATTCTTTTTTTTTTAAAAAAAAAGGAATACCTAGTTTTTAAAATTAAACCTACATTTAATGTATTACATTTTCTTCATGTATACTTTTTTTCATCTACACACGTAAACACACACACCAAAGATTGGAATGCCTTTGGTGAGAGCATTTTCACAGAATGGTGGGACAAAGACCAAATTGCTGCGGAGACAGACGAAATGCAGAAAAAGAATACGGAAAGCAGATGACTTTCTGAAGAAGATCTGTTGTAGAAGGGAGAGGAGGTGACACTGGTGACTCCGAGGACACCAGCTGCTCACATTGCCTCGGCTGGCTCGGAGTGTGGATGCCGCCGGGGGAGATGGCGGCGGGGCCCAAGTCCAGGAAGTTGTGAAACTAGCGCTGTGGGACAGGGGATCAGAGCTAGAAGAGAGCACTGAGGGTGGACCAGGGCACGACAGATGAAAGGGAAGTAAATGATGCGGGGCATCGAGAAGGTTGCGGAGAGGTGCCACAGGTAGTTTCTCCCGACCACAGGGTCCTCTTCCATCGGCAACACCACTGCCACGTCCCCAGGTCGGTAACAGTTTTAAAGTGGTAAATATTAATTTTCTCCAATTATTCTTTTTTTTAAAAAAGGAATACCTAGTTTTTAAAATTAAACCTACATTTAATGTATTACATTTTCTTCATGTATACTTTTTTTCATCTACACACGTACACACACACACCAAGGTCTTCTAAAAGTTCATGGAAAATGTGCATTACATAAAACCTGTGTATGGGTTTAAAAAATGTTTTAATAATTATTTAACTTTATTTTATTTATTTATTTTAATTTGACCAGAGAGGGACAGAGCGAGAGAGAGAGAAAGTGAGACAGCAAGCCGCCAGGTCCTAAATTCGAACCATGGTTGGCCATGTGTGAATCCAGTACTCTTAACCACCATGCCACCTGCTGGTCCTGGGTTTAAAAATTTTTTGCACCGAAACATACTCGTGCTTCAATTCCATTTTTTTCTGTGAGCGTTGTGAAGCTCACTGTCCCACACATGTGTGCACACACAGACTTTGTTTTCTAGAACTCTACAAGAAGAATGAGGACTCTTACAGTCTACAGTGTTTTGACCATGGGTTTGGAATATACAGGGGATGAATTGTATGGAAGTAACATGATTTGGTGTCACTCCAGGAAAATGTTTAAGTAGTAAAAGAGAGAGATTGACGATGTCCCACCACAGTTGCCGACTTCTTCAGGACTTCAGCAGAAGGATAGCAAACTTCTTTCACCTTCTGTGCCCTTACCGGTAAGAAAGGAGAAGTAGCGGAAACCAGGGCAGGCAGTAGAAAAGGGGAGTGAACCCGAAGCAGAAAGCTAGAATGTGGAAGATAAGGCCCATAGATGCTTATGTTTTAGGCTCAACTTTCAAGTGACGGTTTTCTAGCATGCCAGGAGTCTGCTTTCGGTTTGAGGGAAAGAATTTAGGTGAGAAAATGCCAGTGAGAAAGCGGAGAGGACGAGAAATCGGAAGCCTTTATGTATCCAAAGAGCAGGTGGAGTGGGCACTAAAAAATGAAAGAAGAGGGACCGCAGGTGGTATAGCAGTTATGTCACTGACGCCCACATGGCCAACCATGGTTTGAGTCCTGGACCTGGTGGCTTGAAAATCACACCAGGTGCTGGGACCAGCAGTTAGCGTAATGGCTTTGTTGCTGGAGTCCCACATAGTCGACCACGGTTCGAGTCCCAGACCCGGTGGCTTAAACTCACACTGGGCGCATGTGCATGTGTGTCCAAGATCCTGAGAGGAGAATGGAGAAGGGATTGCAGCATGGCCATCCTCCCTGGGGGGCGATGTCTTGCTTTCTGTGTCTCTGTGGCGACCAATGCACCCATGTGCACACGTTCCCAAGACCCCAGGAGGAGAGTGGAGAAGGGATTGCAGCGTGGCCATTCCCCAGGGGCCATTTCTCACTTTCCCTTTCACTGTGACTGTTTCTCTGTCCAGCAAACATACACTCCCTATTATTCCCATTTTACTAATAAACAAAGGGTAGATGCAATAAAGCCACTGGTTCTTTGGTTTCTTCAATACAATAGTTTTGAGATTGTCAGATCGATAGCTAATACCCTCTCAGGGACTTAAAAAAAAAGCCCAGGGGGTTGCTGGTGTGTGTGTGTGTGTGTGTGTGTATGTGTGTGCTTGTGTGTTTCCTTTCAAACTTGAGAGGAATCAGGAGAGAAGTAGGCAGGAAGGAACAAACAAAATCCATTTTCAGGCTGTGCTTTCATATGCCAGGATTCTACCTCCAGCAGGTTTTAATGACGTTATGAACCTCTGAAAGTGGGAGATTACTGAGAGATTTCGGGCAGATCCTTAACTGCAGCAGTGCAAGTGTGTTGCATTGTTACAATATTAACCTTGGGGATAGAAGAGGATTTCAGGCCATAGTATATTGATCAAAGGATTGAGCACAAATAATACATTTTCATTTAATAATTCCTTGCCTGGAGAGGTGTTTGAAAAAGTGACAGCAGAAGTAGAACCACTTGATATCATTGGTATTAACGGAAAACAAAACTTTTTAATGTGGAATTTCATAATCCTTTGATGTACATTTTTTCCATCCTGGCTGTGTTTAAGCTCCTTAAGGTAGAGAGCAGTATAGCCCTGTGGCACGGATGGGTGGGTGGGTGGATGATCTACATGTGACCTTGTAATGTTATCATGTGTTTTCTGAGACACTCAAGATTGAGGCAGAGAAATGAAAAAAGCAAAAGGAAAAAAAAAAAAGAGAGAGTTGAGGTAAAAGCAGCTGCCGTGACCTCTGTGGTCCTCACTTCCCCTTTTATCATAGTCCTCCTATGACGGTTACACACGCACAGACACGCACACAGTGTTTTTGTAATGGAAAAAGATTCGAGAGAAGGACTTTTGATACATAGTAAATCTGACCTAAATATGTGAAGTTCCTGTATACAGAAACACTTAAATATATCTCTTATTTTTTTAGGTTTTTTTTTTTTTCCCCCCCACAGGGCATTGCCAGAGAAGAGGTAGAGAGTGAGAAAGTGAGAAATCACCCCCTAAGGAAGATGGCCATGCCACAGTCCCTTTTACTCCATTCTGCTCTTGGGATTTTGGACAAGCAGGCACACGCACCCGGATCCAGGACTCAGACTGCGGTTGGCCATGTGGGAGTCCAGTGCATCAATCAGCTGACCCTAAGTATATCTTCTAATTAGTACTGAGGGGGTGTGAGGCAGGGAGGAGCTTATCAGGATTTCAAACTCTGACATGGATCTGGACATACAGAAAACTGGTAACACAGCTTTTTTTTCCCCCAGGAAGGAGAAAACTAGATGATGCCAGTTAAATAAAAAGGAAATTTACTATTATCTATAATAAAATTATGGTCTTTTTAAATTTTGTAGCATGTGTACAGTATTATCTATTATAAACCTAAGAACAAAACAGAAAACTTTGGCATGAATAATTGCTTATTATCTCTAAGTTTCTTCTTCTTCTCCTTCAGGTGTTTGCAATGGCTGCTACTGTGAACCTGGAGCTTGATCCCATTTTTCTGAAAGCACTGGGTTTCTTACATTCAAAGAGTAAAGATTCTGCTGAAAAACTGAAGGCACTTCTTGATGAATCTTTGGCTCGGGGCGTTGATTCAAGTTACCGGCCATCTCAAAAGGTACCCACTTGAGTAAAAAGGTTGGAGAGAATTTCCTTATTCCTGTGGTAGTACGATGATACTATTTAGACCATCTCAAGACAGTCCCTGCAGAAGCAATCTCCTTGTGGCACAAATAAGTTCTTTCTTCTTTTTTTTTCCTCTCAAGCTTTCCGAGAACAACTGCACCACGTAGAGAAGCTAGCTGGCTGCGCGGTTATTCTGCTGCATTGCTACCTGTCTGTAGAAAACCCATGTTTAGCTGGAGGAATGGCTACATCGCCAGACTCCCACATAGTCGACCGCGGTTCCAGTCCCAGACCCAGTGGCTTAAACTCACGCCAGGCATGTGTGCATGTGTGCCCAAGCTTCCAAGAGAAGAAAGGAGGAGAAGGGACTGCGGCGTGGCCATCCCCCCGGGGGGGTGATTTCTCGCTTTCTGTCTCTCTGCCTGTCTTTCTGGCAAGCACACACTCCCTGTAGCAAAAAACCTTTCCAAAAAGAGAAAAAGAACACCCCATGTTTACAGCTTACTTCAGTGTCCAATGTTAATGTTTTAAGGGAGAAAAATACAGAAGTAAGAGAACAGGGATTTTTCAGTAGAATAAATTGTGTATGGGTAGCATCATTTCAGAGAAAAGGTATGGATGGACTCCAGATTGTGCGTCTGATCTTGACAGTAACAAAGTGGTCAGTGGCAGCGTTGTGTGAAGAGAATACAGATTTCGGAGCCAGAAGAACAGTTTAAATCCCAGTCTACCTCTTACAGTTGAGCAATGTTGATAAGTACCATCTCGAATGTTGACTGTGCCCCAGTCACTTTTCTGAGTGGTTTGCATGCTAGGTGTCATTTCCTTTCCTTATTATACATGAAGAAACCAAAGAACCAGTGGCTTTATTGCATCCACCCTTTGTTTATTAGTAAAATGGGAATGATAGGAATGACTCTGTAGAGTAGTGAAAATTAAAAGAGAGCAATTAGTTAATTTGTAAGTCACCCCGTGTAATATCCACCTGGTACATAATAGGTTCGTGGTGATTGGCAGGGTTTATTATGTTCTCTCACACCTGCTAAGACATTCTTTTACGCTCATCTGCAGCTCTGGGCCTGATACTCCAAGTCACCTAGCTTCCAAATGGGAAGGAGCCCTGTGTGACTGGCCTGTGTCTGGTCAGCGCATGGGCCCAGGCTCTGAGCCCATGTGGGCACAGCCTGTTTTTCAATACTAGCTCTAGTATGTTCAAGCCTTTCATTGTATTTTCAATCGTAGACCCTTTGTGACCTAATTTCTACCACCCGTTGTCATTCTGGTGTGATTCCAGTGTCCAGATTAAAACACCTCTTAACAAAATACACTGTTAAATTCACTCTGCTCTAGATGCTGGTATTGTCAAGTAGGAAGAGCTTATTATTAAAGAAAAAGCGATATGAGATTCTAAAATGGAAGTTCATCTGTTAGAGTACATGGAAAATCTATTGTGGTTAAAAAAGCTACTACCCTTAAGTTTGTATTTTAATGTTTATTATTATTATTTTTTTTAATTTGACCAGAGAGAGACAGAGCAACGGCGGTGGGGAGTGAGAAAGAAGGCTGCCTGGTCCAGGACTCCAGCCACAGCCAGCATGTGGGAGTCTGACGCCTTTAGCCACCACACCACCTACTAGCCCCATGCCCTCAAGTTTCTAACTAGAATTTACTCTTCTTGGTCAGTGTACAGGAAATAGACATAAGATTTAAACGCACAGGTTCATTTAAATTTAGGCTTCCATGAGAAGAGAGATCGATGCCAGTATTTCCCAAACTTCAGTAAAAATTGTTTAGAGGCAGTGGTAGAGCTGCAAACGGCGCTAGTTCTGCAAGCGTAATCCTAACGGGACTATCGTGATATTGCATTGACATTGATGAGTTAGGTAAATTGAAATAATGAGCTTGGGGGACCAGCAGTTGGCGTAATGGCTATGTCGCTGGACTCCCACGTAGTCGACCACGGTTGAAGTCCGAGACCCAATGACTTAAACTCATGCTGGGCGCGTGTGCGTCTGTGCCCAAGAGCCTGAGGGGAGAATGGAGGAGAAGGGATTGCAGTGTGGCCATCCCCCCTTGGGGGGTGATTTCTCGCTTTCTGTCTTCTGTCTCTCTATCTTTCTGGTAAGCACACAGTGCCCTATAGCAAAAAAAAAAAAACTCTCAAAAGTAAAATGAAATAATTAAAAAAAAAAGAACCAAAGAGTAAAAGTAGTTTAGGTTTTGTGAACAAGATGGTTTCTGTTGCTACTATGTAATTCGGTCATGGTAGCAGGAAAGCAGCCTCCGTGACACTTGAAGAGTGGCTGTGGCCGTGTCAGTAAAACCGTGCAGGCAGTCTGGCCACGTGTGGGCCGCAGATGTCGGTTCGCTGCCCCACAGTCTGAACGATCAGCACAGTCCCCGCCCTCGTCCCTTCCTTCCTCTTCCTCTCAAGAGGTAATCACTATTCTGAAGTCGAGGTGTATCATTCCCATTTATATTCTGTACTGTTATTGTCTATTCTTATACTAATGTACTCTGCCCTTGTAGCTTTATTCAGAATGGTGAAAAAATCCCTTCCTTTTCGGGGAAGAGAGATGATTCCATGGAGCTGCAATACACACAAACTTCTGCCCCAGTGACAGCAGTAAACCGCCAGTCTCCCTGTCCGCAAACCTGTGAGAGCAGGAATTCCAAGTATACAACAGAGTGAAAAGACAAGCTAGAAACTGAGAGGAGAGTGTGGCAGATTGTTATATCTGACCAAGACCTGTGCCCAGATTGATGAAGCGCTCTTAACCTCAATAATAAGACCAATTGCACCATTTTTTTTAAACAAGCAAAGCTTTTCACTCATTCCCAGAGAAGATACATGTGGCAAGTGCTCAGCCTCGTGAGCTTTAGGGAGATGTGAATCCTCAGTGAGTTGCCACTATGTTCCTGTTATGGCTAGAACGTCTAGACTGAAAAAGATTAGCCGTACCAGCTGCAGCTCCCACACCCTCGGTGGAGGTGTGTCCCCGCGGAATACGGTTTGGCAGCTTCTTCAAAAACTGAGCATCCACCTAACATATAAGCCAGGCACCCACCTACATGTGTTGTAGACACACGGCAGTGTGTCCATGCTTGGACGTGGGGGTGCATAGCAGCTTTATCTGTAAAGCCCCCAACTGCACACAGCCCACGTGCCCTCCGGTAGGGGCATGAAGAAACGATTGTGGGATCCATCCATCAAATGTTACTCAGTAATGAGGAAAGCACTGTTGATAGACTCAACAACAGATGGATCTCAAAATAAATATGCTGAGTAAAAGAATCTAGACAGAAAAAAATAAAGTACATTTCATTCACATAAGTATCTGAGAAATGCAAACTTATCTACGATTACAGAATGCAGATCAACAGCTGCCTGAGAACAGGGTCTAGTTTGTCTGAAGAGAATATAATTACAAGGGGATTTTAGGGAAAATAGGTAACATTTTGATTGCAGTAGTGATGTCATGGGTGTATACATATGTCAAAGCTTCACATTTTATGCTTTAAATAGGTGTAGTTTGTATATCAGTTATTCTCAGTAAAGCTATTAAAGAAAATAGTGTTTCATTGGTCATAAGATAATACCTTAATTTTTAACTGAAAATTGTTTGGATTTGTGATTTATTTTCTATGATGTATTAGTCCGAATATTCAACTACTGGCTTCTTTTCATTTCACCTTTTAGGATGTGGAGCCACCTAAAATTTCGGGCACAAAACCTACTTCCATTAAGCCAGAACCCAAGACGTCATCCAGTCTTCCTCCTGGCAACAGTAATGGCAAGGTCCTTACAACTGAGAAGGTAAAGAAGGAAGCTGAGAAAAGACCTGCTGATAAAGTAAGATCTTATTTCAGTCTAGTTTTTTGGGTTTTTTTTTTAAGTAATCATTTGTTCCATAGGCAGGATGGAACAGTGTTTATGATTGTACACACAGTGGTCGTGTTCCTACCTGGAAAAGACCTGCTGATAAAGTAAGATCTTATTTCAGTCTAGTTTTTTTGGGTTTTTTTTTTAAGTAATCATTTGTTCCATAGGCAGGATGGAACAGTGTTTATGGTTGTACACACAGTGGTCGTGTTCCTACCTGTGCTCACTGTCAGATGAAAGCAGTAAGCTTGAGACATGACTACAGATGCTGACTTTTTAAAAACTGAGTGAAATTTAGAAATATTTTTAAAAACTATTTCCTGAAGGTCCTCGTCAACAAATATTTGAGCCCTAAGGAATTTTAATGGAAAATTTAATTCATAGCTCAGAGATCCTAGATGGAATAATTATTGAAAAGAAAGCATAAAGAGTAATGATGTAATTGACTGAACATAGACTTGTTACAGAAAGGCCTGTACCTTCGTGGGGCCACAGATAATTCTGGGATTACCTATTTTTGGATAATTTATGCAAATACTAATTAAGAGTTTAGCAATTAATAAAAAATACATTAAAAGTTATTTATCCTCCCAGGGTGGGGCATGGCTGTTCATAAGCTGTATTATATTTTTTTCTCTGCTTTTAAATTTATATGAATGGTATCATACTGTATATTTAAACATATCCTTTAGTAATTTGCTTTTTCACCATTAAACAGTGTGTTTTTGAATTTACTTATGTTGATGGATGTAAATCTAGATATTTCTTTTCACTACCATATACTAACATTCTCTAAGAAAACCATTTAGCCAGTCCCCACTCATGAACAACGAAGTTATTGCTCCTTTTCTCTCTGTGACAATGGAACCTTAGTGAGCTTCATGATGCGGATCTAGGTGCAGACATGGTAGTGGTTTCTATAGGACATTCACCTAAAAGTGAACACGGTAGCATGTGGACATCATCCACGTTCTAGGCATTGCCAAGTTGCTATCCAGAGTGAGTATACTAACCCTGTGTTCCCATCAACGAAGAGCTGTAAGTTTTCCACATCTTAATCAGACCTTTTCATTTTTGTCAATCTGACAAGCATGTCCATAATAGCTGTATCTTAAACAGAAGAGCCATTATTAGCTTTGAAGAAAATATAGCAATGCATAAAGTCTAGAAGACTGAGAGGTAGCACATTGTTTAGTTCTTTTTAATATATTTTAAATACTAGTAGTTTGTAATTTAAAACATTTAAAATTTTAAATAGCATTATTAGTGTTGTGATTTCTCAGTTCAAGGCATCTTGATGGGAAAAAAATGCTAAGTAAATCCATTGAACTTCTAGAACTCTTTAATAGAAGAATGCAGAAACACTGTATCCTGAACTGTTCTGATTGAATGATTTCTGTATTGCTGGTTCTTTTTAATATGCCAATTATAAATGAGCTGTAATTCTGTAGATCATTAATGCACACTTATCGCTAACAAAATGTACTTGACCATTGCACACTGTCCGTCTTTCTCATTTCTCAGTGATTTAATCTTCGTTCTGCCACGTTTTTGTTTTGTTTTGTTTTGTTTTTTTGAGAGGTTTTTGCTATAGGGCGCGTGCACTCACCAGGCAGACAGAGACAGAGAGACAGAAAGTGAGAAATCACCCCCCAGGGGGTATGGCCATGCCGCAATCCCTTCTCCTCCGTTCTCCTCTCAGGATCTTGGGCACGCGTGCACGCACACGCGCCCGGCGTGAGTTTTTTAAGCCACCGGGTCCGGGACACGAACCGCGGTCGACTACGTGGGAGTCCAGCAACATAGCCATTACGCTAACTGCTGGTTCCCCACCCGGTGTGAGTTTTAAGCCACCGGGTCTGGGACGCGAACAGTGGTCGACTACATGGGAGTCCAGCAACATAGCCATTATGCTAACTGCTGGTTCCCCTGCCATGTTATTTTCATTATTATTTCTGATTGGGTGCTTTCTCTAGATGAAATCAGACCTCACTGAAGGAGCTGATATCCCCAAGAAACCCAGACTGGAGAAGCCAGAGACACGCTCCTCCCCTATCACCGTGCAGACCAGCAAGGACTTAGCTGTGGCTGACCTGTCCAGCTTTGAGGAGACCAGCGCTGACGATTTTGCCATGGAGATGGGATTGGCCTGCGTGGTGTGTAGGTGAGCATTGCCTTGCCTTAGCTTCTTTCATTTCTTTGTAAAATGCAAACAACCCCCTTCTCCTCCACCTATCAAAAGTCAGAGAAATCATTTGGCGTTGTTTATTTTATTTTTATTATTTGGGGTTGGTGAGGAGATACGTAGATTATGTGTTATGAACCACCCATCTAGCAATTAATTTTTTTTTTTCCAGAGGACACATGCACTCACCAGAGAGAGACTGAGCAGGGAAGGGGGAAAGCACCAGCCCGTGGGGGCATGATCATGCCGCAGGCCCTTCTCATCTCTCCATCCTGGCAGGACCTGGAGCGTGTATGCACATGTGCCCACCCCAGTTGTTTTTCAAGCTGCTGGGAACCCACTGGGGTTTCAGCCATGCAGTGGGCCATGTGGGGTCCAGCTCACTTGACCACTAGGCCACAGGGCCAGCCTTTTAGCTTGAGCTTTGCCGACGAGCACTATTTCATTTTCCTGACTGTGGCTTCTTTCATCTGTGTGTTGTAGTGACATTTTTTCATTTGTGAGTTCTACAATGAAAGTGATTATTACATTATCCTTTAATGAGGAAAAGTATGTTAAGCAGATTCAATTATTTTTATATTTTTAAGTCTGTATTACCTTTTTTTCCTGAATTTTTAATAGCACTTATAAAAATAGTTTGACGTCATTTCCTAAAACACCATTGATTTTTTTTTTCCGAAGAGTGATGGAAATGAAATGAATGTAACAAATTATGCTTCTGAATAGGATCATTTCTTAGACTTCATTGTTTTTATATACATTTATTTTTTTCCAGAGTTGCCTGAAGTAGAAAACATTACTTTGACACCTCTCTTAATTCTTATCTATAACTATGAAGGTTTTTGTTTGTTTGTTTTATCTTTTGCTATAGAACATGTGCTCTCCAGAGAGACAGAGAGGGAAAATGAGAAATCACCCCCCCAAGGGGTGACCATGCCACAGTCCCCCTTCTCCTCTCAGGGTTTTGGGCACGCACACACACACGCCCAGCATGTTTTTCAAGCCAGTGGTTCTGGAACTCTAAGCACACAGGCAGCTGTGTGGGATCCATCCATCCTAACCACCCTTACACTGGCTGGCCCCGGTTTTTTTCCCCTTTGAATGTATAAAACTTCACCGAACAACCCTGCAGTTGGCTTTCAGGTTGCTGCATTCAAGAAAGTGTAGTATTTAATGGTATATGTTTTTAGGCAAATGACGGTGACATCTGGGAATCAGTTAGTAGAATGTCAGGAGTGTCATAACCTCTACCACCAAGACTGCCACAAGCCCCAGGTGACAGACAAGGAAGTGAACGACCCTCGCCTAGTGTGGTACTGCGCACGGTGCACCAGGCAGATGAAAAGAATGGTAGGAACCGTGTCTTCCTCTCTCTGTCTTCTGCTTTTGTTGTTGACCTATTCTTTCCAAATAAAAATTCGAGCAATTAAGATACTGAAAAGCTAAATGAGCTGATTACTTAAACGTTCATAGATGGTAGACACATGCAATTCGTGTGTCTGTGCCCCAAGACCAGACCACGTTATATGCATTCTCCTGTTTCACTTTAACATAAACAAGATTAGAGAGCCATAGTACATGGATATTCGGAACTCATACGTCATTGTTCTTATAAGCAGTTAAAAATATTACAAAGCACTGTGGGAGGTAGTGAGACACAAAACCCCAGTGTTTGTTGAGTCTCGGGAAATACAGAAAATGTCTGTTCTTGAGGGAACTTAGACCACTGAGCTCCTTAGTCGGGGCTGAGGCAAGGTCTACGTGTCCTCTCTGTCTCCCCACCAGTGCTTCTCAGCTCCTCAGTCTGTCTTCTCGTTGCCTTCGAGTGACTGTCTCATTTTTCCAAAGTGCTTTCCCTTCTTTCCGATCTCTAACATAACTTTGCCTTTAACAACATCCTGAAACATGTTTTCAGTTTTTATATTGGATAATTATTTCCAGAGTTGCCTAAACTAGAAGACATTACTTTGACACCTTTTTTAACACTGAATCCCTTTGTTTACCCAATTCGTTAATTCCACCTCTCTGAAACATTTGGTATTGGTGACTGCAGCGTAGGGATGGGCCATGCCCATGAGGGCAGTTTTATGTGTCCCACAGTACACGCAGCAGTCGCCAGTGGAAAACGGGGCCGCCTTTTGGACAGCACGGAGTCACTGGTTACTTTCCGCTTCCCTCAACTCTGTCACCAGCAGAGGACAGAGCTCTGAGTGTGCCTTGCTCAGCTTCTGATGGGGTTAGGTGAGGCAGGAGAGGCCGTCAGGCAGAAATACTGTCTGGGGCTTCATTACCATCCACCTTCATCTGCTAAGCTTCAAGGTCAGCTGGCCCTGAGAGTCGAGCTTCTGGACTGGTGGATGTAAAGGAGGGCAGTGGGACCTGAGGGCCACAGTTACAGAGCCGAGTCCACATTCTCACACGTGGTTGTGCTGTCAGCCTATGGTGGCCCTTTCCACTAACGAGAGATATTTTACCACCCATAGCTTTGCAGCATTCTTTTTTTTTTTTTTTATCATCATAATCTTCTTTATAATACATTGGATTACATATAACTTTACAGTGTATATTACATTGCTTTTTCAAAAGGGAATGCCATGCATGTCAGTCAATACAGAGACATTAATCTCCCTGCTTCAACATTCGATATCTTTTCTATGTTTTCCCCAATCAGTATTATTATTATTCTAATTATTTTTTAAAACAGTCAATCGCTATTTCTCATTTTGCTTGTAAAAATACCTTGCCCATCGTGAGGTACTTCTCAGACCAATCCAGTTGAGAATACTATACATGTCATCACCAACAGTTAATAAGCCATATCTGTTTCTCACTCCCAATCATTATTTTTATTATTCTAATTATTTTTATAAAACAGTCAATTGCTATTTCTCGTTTTGCTTGTAAAAATACTTTGCCCATCATGAAATACTTCTCAGACCAATCCAGTTGAGAATACTATACATGTCATCATCAACAGTTAATAACCCCTATCTGTTTCTCACTAACGTCCTGTCTCTCTATTGTTCACTTGCTATCTTTCTCTATCCTCTTCTCTTCACTTACCCCATTCCACACTGTCCTATTCTCATTAAGTACCTTCACTGTTTTTATGTCCTCCGAATTTTTGCTCTCTATTATAGAGTGCGGATAGTCGGTATATATTGAGTGGATACATACCATATCTTTCTTTCATAGCCTGGCTTACTTCACTCAGCAATAGATCCTCCATATCTGACCATTTTCTATCAAATTCCAGGGTCTTGTTATTTTTTATGGCTGAGTAGTATTCCATAGAGTATATATACCACACTTTTCCAATCCATTCATCAGTTTGTGGACATTTAGGTTGGTTCCATGTCTTGGCAATTGTGAATAATGCTGCAATAAACATGGATGTGCAAGCACTTTTCTGACTGAGCGTTCTCCTGTCTTTTGGGTAAATACCCAGAAGTGGGATTGCTGGATCAAATGGTAGTTCTATTTGTAGATCTTTGAGGAACCTCCATATTGTTCTCCACAGTGGTTGAACTAGTTTACATTCCCACCAACAGTGTAGGAGGGTTCCCTTTTCACCACATCCCCGCCAACACTTATCACTTTTTATATTCTTAATCTTTGCCATTCTGACAGGGGTTAGGTGGTATCTCATTGTGGTTTTTATCTGCATCTCCCTTATGATGAGGGATGTTGAGCATTTCCTCATATGCTTTTTGGCTGTTCGTATGTCTTCCTTAGAGAGGTTTTTGTTCAGCTCATTTTCCCATCTTTTAATTGGGTTAATAATTTTTTTTCACATAAGGCACTTGAGTTCCCTATGTATTCTGGTTATCAGTCCCTTGTCTGAGGCATATTTAACAAAAATATTTTCCCATTCTGAGGGTTGTCGGTTCACACTTGTTACTGTGTCCTTTGCTGTGCAGAAACTTCTTAGTCCAATATAGTCTCACTTGTCTATTTTAGGGATTATTGCCTGTACTTTGGGAGTCTTATTTAAGAAGTCTTTGCCTACTCCAATGTCTCCCAGAGTTTCCCCAGCATTTTCCACAAGTAGTTTTATTGTCTGAGGTCTTAGGTTCAGATCTTTGATCCATTTTGAGTTGACTGTTGTTAATGGTGAAAGATGGGGGTTCAGTTTCATCTTTCTGCAGGTGGATACCCAGTTTTTCCAGCACCATTTACTAAAGAGGTTTTCCTTTTCCCAATGGATTGACTGATATCCTTTGTCAAAGATCAATTGGCTGTAAGCTTTGGGGGTTATTTCTGGGGTCTCTATTCTCTTCCATTGGTCCACATGTCTGTTTTTATGCCAATACCATGCTGTTTTGATGACCACAGCTTTATAGTATATCTTGGGATCCGGGAGTGATAATTTGCAGCATTCTTAAAAACATTCTTGGTCTGAGAGTTGCCTTGTAAGTGATGTTTGAAGTGGAAGTATGTAAAGTTGCATGAATTGAAATTTTAAGGATCAAAATTGTGTAATGCAGCACACAGGTAGTGCAAGAAGAGTAAACACGGTGGTCCAAACAGGCCTAAAACAGGCCAGATTCGGGCTTCCAGATACAGACAGACTAGATGAAGAAACAGTGGCTTACTGTGAGCACTTGGCACACGCCAGACGCCGTGCAACTCCTACGTAGTTCGTGATCCATCCTCGTCTCCCGCCTTTGGAATGGATGGCATCACCACATTTTGCAGATGAAGAAAATGAGGCTTTTATAAATGTGTGTGCTTTACTTGAGGTAACATGGCCAGGGAAGTAGTTATCTGAGTTTTAATTCTAGTTCTGTTTGATGCCTCGAACTGTGCCATCCTGTCTATATAGTTACAATTATCTACCTGAAAATAATGAAAGGTGATCAGAGTTTTATAGAGAATTTAGTAAAATGCCCTAGTTATAAAATAAAGGGAAAAAATCAATTACTGATCAAAATATAAATGAAAATGCCTATACAGGAACAATAGGTGCAAATTCTTCTTTGATAACATAGATATTTGTGTTTAAGAGCTTTTTCAAAGGATTTAATGTACCTAGTTCTGCAGTATGGGAAAAGCTCAAAAAGAGTCATTATTTATCAATAAAAGTGTTTATCAATAAAAGTGTTTTCCGCCCCATTCTGTATTTCTAATTATAGAAATGATCTAAGCTACATTTTAACTCACCCTCAGTAACTCAAAGACTTATACCTGGATCGCATGAAGAAAATCCCTAAGCCTTTGACTGATCATAATGAGAAATAAATGTGTTTCATGATAAGTAAAGCCAATTGGTTACATGTAGTTTGTGAATTTCCTTTTCTGAAAAGAGCTCGGTTTGTCTTGTTAAATGGTATTTAACAAACCCTAATTTGCATGATTTCAAAAGCTTAGAACTACCTTTATTGTTCAGAAAGTAATGAAATCTGTGACTTACTGTGATGGTGATCAAAATAATTTGTCCAAGAATCTGTATTTTTCAGTGTAATTGTAATATTTTTAAAATGTTCGATTGTATTTTAATTCAATGACTAGTCCCACCATAGATTTTTTACTATCTTTTTTGTGTGTTTACTTAAGATTTTGTATCTAATTTAATTGTCTGATGTTTACAGGCTCAGAAAACTCAGAAACCACCACAGAAACCAGCTCCTGCCGTTGTGTCTACAGCTCCAGCTGTCAAAGACCCACTAGTTAAGAAGCCAGAAACTAAACTTAAACCAGAAACAGCTTTTCTGGCATTCAAGAGAACAGAAGTCAAGGTACAGTCCACTCACTTTTATCTAAGATTGTACCTTAAATCAGCGGACTACACAGTAGCTACTTGATGAAAAATACGAAGAGACATTTTCTATACTTAAATGGCTAATGTGTTGGAAATTACGATTCTATGACAATTACACAAGGCAGGCAGGCGACAGTTACATCATCGTGTAATCTCTAAATCTGCTGTTTGTATTCTTATCACAAATAGGAACAGTCTGTGGTCATTCCAAAATCATATTCCTTGCCATGCCCACGTGGTTAGATGCTTATTTCTGGTCAGGACTTTGGTTTAAATTCTAAGTACTCTGCTCTTGGTATCAACAGTTTTTCTGCTAGCACTACTTGAATTGACTGACAGAGCTTTTTTCTCCCTAGTTAATGATTGGTGAAGTTTTCTTGTCTTAGTTTTATTTTTCTTTTCCTTTTATTATCAACTTTCATGCTACCTACTTAATACGCTAAGGGACATATTACGTAGTGAGATGATCACCTTTCTTATTCTTCAGTTTGCAACTTTGAAATCATACTACATTATTATTAATATCCTGGCATTTTGATGTCATGGAACAAAATCTTTTTCTAACTGAATTTTATAACAAGAATATTTTTGCTGAGTTGTATATTCCACTTTAAAGCACAGTACTAAAGATGGAAGAAAAAAATATTAGCCTCAAATTCTTGCAGACTGACCATGGAAAATACTAAAGCTATTATCTTGTGTGAGTGGCTATAATTAGACACTCAAGAACCTTAATGTGAAAAAGAACATGATTATTAAGTACTCTGAGGAGGGTACTGATAATTACATTTGCAGATCATTTTTAGGTTAGCAGGTAAAAGTTAATATTGAAGGGATATCCGTAATTGACTGGTCATATAGGAAATTGGTGGATTGCACTAGAAGTAGAAATAACTACTTAAAGTAATTAGATTTTCTAGTTCTGTACTTAATCACTTTTCAGTAGATTTTTAATGACTTGTTTACATCAGAGTTTATTTTTAGGAGTTCTAACATGAAATCATTTTATGGCAAATAAATTAAGACCTTGGCTGTTATGTTTGTTCTGATTAAGAACAATGATAAAAGTAAACAAATTTGTGCTGCAAAAAAAAAGTTCCCATTCATAGAAAGCAAATGGCTTCTCACTAGGATATGGACAAGAAGTTATTTAATAGTTTAAAAAATCTAAGAAATTCGTTTTCTATCCTGAAAAGTCTCCATTTTGCGTTGTCCCTTGCGGGTGTCTGGGTAGTGTTAGAGACCATCTGTTGCCCTATGAAAGCAGCACCCAGCAGTGGCCAGCCATCACAGTCACGCGCCAGGCCGATGGAAGCTGCTTTCTTGCTGCCCTCTGTGTCGGTCTTTCTACTTACTTACTTCAGGTGGGATTTCCTCTCTGAAGTTCGGATAAGATCATTTAGCCACAGGGCAGACAGTTTTGTTTAATAGAAAAGAAAAGACAGGAGCTCTTTCATATCTGAAAACTGGAAGTTGACTGTACTCATGGCCTCTTGCTTTCTTGAGTAACTGTTCCTGTCATGACCAGTGTGCATTCTTACACAAATTTATGACTTACGTGAAGTTGTCCTTTTCTAGGTAATGTCAGGAGATAGGTACGTATGACATTACTGTAAAAATCCTGTCAGTTTTCAGAGTATCTGAACAGAATTTTGGAGTCCTCCTCTTACAAAGATCTCAGCAATTTCGATTACTTTTCACATTGGTTAAAAATATTTATATGCAAGCAGTATTGAAGGTTACCTCGTAAGAGTTAAACATGTTCTACAAACTCTGAAAGAGTTTGGTTCTGAAATATAACTGGATATATTTTGATGCATGACTGCTACCAATTTTAAAATTAGGATGGGGTTAAGGCAGCTGGATCCCACATGGCCAACTGTGTGGTTATGGTGGTTCAAGTCTGGGACCTAGAAGCTCGAAAACCCTCCAGGCACGTGTGTGTGCCCAAAGTCTCAAGAGGAGAATGGAGGAGAAGGAATTGTGGCATGGCCATCCCCTGGGGGTGCCTTCCCACTCCTACCCCTGACCCCCGCATCCCGCCTCTTCTCTGGCGAGTGCATGTACCTTATAGCAAACTTAAAAGAAACAAACAAGCAACAAAAAACCCAGAATGTTAATTTACCAATCTTATCTTTTACCTATGTGTGAATTTAACACGTACGTGAATCTTAAGACTATGAAAGTACAAAGAATGTCAATAAGTTCAATTCAAAATTAATTTGAATGAAGTGCATCTATTTGTGCCTAATGTGAAAGTGAAAACATTTTTCTTGTGTAAGAGCAGTGTGCATTCGTATCGTGGCATTGCGTCACTGACCTTCTGGTTAGCAGAGGAAGTTCAACAGAATTGAAAGTGTCACACCCTAAGAAACACACCAGGGAGTCAGACCTACAGACTGTCACTGTGCAGCAGCCCACTGGGCAGATCCTTTATACAGAAACAGGAATCTCTTGTGCGATAGTCTCAGTGGAATCGTGAACAAATTGTGAAACTGCAATCAGGAGACATTTTCTTTCTAAAATATCGTGTGAGTTGAACACTATGCACATCTGTATATATCTTCAGTGTTGCAGCTATTGCTCCAGATTTGAGGGGAATTTTTTTAAATTGGTTTAGAATTTGCGTATATCTCTTTTCTTTTTCTTCATCTTCATTCAGTCAGTAATTATTGAATAACTTATCTTGGGCATTTTCTCCTGACTATTCTGGGTATAAGCATTTTGTTCATTAACAGTGGATTTGCTTTTTGAAATGATCCACAATTCATTTGGAGTGAAGTCTAAATAATCATATGTTCTACTGAGCTAGATAACACTTTTTTTGGGTAAAATAAATAAATAAATAAATAAATAAATAAATAAAGCACTAAATCTGATTTCTTGATATACCTTGTAAGTGAATCTAAAAGCAATTCCCAAAGAATTCCTTAATGTAGTCTTTTGGAATCATTAGAATAAGAGTCTTAACAATAAAGTGAAGGTGCTAAACTCACACATGGCCAGTCGTGGTTCGAGTTCTAGATCCAGCAGCTTGAAAATCATGCTGGGTGCATGTGCCCGCGTGCCCAGAATCCCAGGAGAAGAATGGATTGCAGTGTAGTCATCTCCCTTGGGGAAGGATTTCTACTTTCCCTGTCACTGTCTCTCCCCCCACCCATCTGGTGAACACACATGCCCTATGGCAAAAAAGGAAACAAAAAGAAAAGAACAAGAACTTATCATCTAAAAAATTTCTGTCTTGGGAATGATAACATCATGGGTAAGATTTGTTCTATGTGTTTTTACAGGTCAACTTCATAAGAGCTGGATTTAGTAATGTGATTTCAACGTCCCAGGTCATTACTTTGGTATAAAAAGTCTAACAGTTAAACGTGTTATGTATTCAGGGATATTACACAGGCGTTGATCATCCTTGGTTCTAATGTAGTATTTAATTTACTTCTTTAGACATCCACCGTGATTTCAGGAAATTCTACCAGCACCAGCGTTTCCTCGGCAGCTACGAGTGGCCTAACTGGATGGGCAGCTTTTGCAGCCAAAACTTCCTCTGCTGGTCCCTCAACAGCAAAATTGAGCTCAGCAGCACAAAACAGCGGTGGGAAACCTGCAGCCTCATCATCTAATCAGAAGCCTGTGGGTCTGACAGGCCTGGCAACATCATCCAAAGGTGGAATCGGTTCCAAAATAGGTTCTGGGAATAGCACTGCGGCCACCGTGCCACTGAAACCGCCTCCACCGCTAACCTTGGGCAAAACGGGCCTCAGTCGCTCAGTTAGCTGTGACAACGTCAGCAAGGTTGGTCTTCCTAGTCCAAGTAGTTTAGTCCCAGGAAGCAGCAGCCAGCTGAGTGGGAACGGAAACAACGGGCCAGCCGGGCCCAGCGGGGGTGCCGCCAGCAAGGCCACCTCAGAGCCGAGCAGCAATCCCTCAGCATCCCTTAAAGGCCCAACCTCCCAGGAATCCCAGCTCAACGCCATGAAGCGACTACAGATGGTCAAGAAGAAAGCCGCCCAGAAGAAACTCAAGAAGTGATGGCCGAGGATGGGTCTTAGGTCACATTGCCTCAGGGTGAAGAGCTTGTTATTAGTACCTGAACTGTGATATACTGTAATTTAATAAAGATCTTTCTAGTCCCATTTCTGTGGCTTCTTTGCTTTAAGTTGCTAAATATGCTTTAGCAAAATTCGGATCCTTTTTCGTTTTAAATATGTCTTTAACACTTTTGTTTAATAATTTCCATTGTATGTGAAAATAATGATTAGAATGACTGAGTTTGAAGATTCAGAAGATTGATAAGTTAAAGGAAAAGCAGTTCGCCTTCTAGCAGAGCCTCAGGAGTTGGTCCTGTCCAGTGAGGGGCTCCAGAGGGGCAGAGACGACCAGCGTGAAGCTCTCTACTGCCCCCAGTGTTCACCCCCCTCATTTCAGCCAGCACTCCCTAGAAATAAATTTCTCACAACCGATCTTGTAACTGTGTTGTATCTTCACCTTTTTTATCACCTCATCAGTTGTTTAGGGAGTGATCTTCTGATAGAACTCTCAAGGCCTTTTCATACAATCCTTTTCTCAGGGTGCCCCCTGTTCCCTACATCACCAATGTAACATAGGCACTTAGTGTATACTCAATAAACACTGAATTTTTCTCATCCTGGTTATGCGTATTCCTGAGAATTCTTGAAAAATACACCCATTCCTAAGGGTCTTTGTGGATGGAAATGTAGGCACTGACAATTCTTTCTATACCAAGGAAGAAAAGGCTATTTTTAAAGTTTATTTACTTGTTACTTCCATGAGTGAGAGATAGCACCCCCACCAGGATTTGATGCCACAACCCACTCCAGCCGTCATCCTTGAATCACAGGCATGCTGGTGCCCAGAGTGCTCATGGAGGTCTCTCAGCACAAGTCTTAAAACTTTCCTCGTAGGTCAACCTCCTCAGGGCTGTGCTTTACCAAGATCCAGCCCTGACTTTTGTTTTGTTTTCATTGCTAGAGGGCACATGCACTCACCAGGGAGAGGCCTCCCTCCCAATGGGGCTTCACCGCGCCGCAATCCTTTTTCCTCCATTGCTTCATCTGTCTGGATTTGGGGTATGCATGTCTGATGTGCTTTTTCTTTTTTTTTAATATTTAATTTTATTTATTCATTTATTTTATTTTGACCAGACAGAGATAGTAAAAATAAAAAAGCAAGCCACCAGGTCCAGGACTCAAACCATAGTCAGCCATGTGGGAGTGTCCAGCACCTTAACCACCATGCCACCTACTGGTTCCCTGGTGTGTTTTTTCAAGTCACAGACAGGTTCAGACCACTGTCAGCCACGTGAGAGCTGGCTCCCAGTACACTGCGCTTTGCCACTGCCCTGCAGGCCTGGCCCCAGCTATTTTATTTTTTCTGTCCAAAAAAATAACATCTCACCTAATTTTGTTAACTTTGTATGAAAGAAACTCCCCATACAAGGAGTCTTCTAAAAGTTATGGAAAATGTACATTTTGAAAAACAGTATGCATAAATTTCCAAAACTGTTTGTGCTAAAATAAATTCATATGTTAAGTCCATTTTCCGTGAACTTTTTGAAGTCCCTTTGAATGATTGAGGTTTTAGATTGTTTTGTGCATTGTTAAGGCAGAAAATGTGAACAGTCTCGGTTGTCGCCTTTCTTGCAGGTCAACAAATTGGCCTGCCATCATTTTACATATGCATTCTAACATAAGAGGCTTTCTGAACCAGAGAAATAGTTTATTATTCACAGCAAAAGCTACAGCCATTTTCTAATTCCTTAGCACCCATTTATCCTGAAACTAATCCAAAGAATTCCCACATGCACAAGACTGTGAGCAGCTTGTTCATCAACCTGGACAGTGCTGTTAATCTTCGTTCCATAAACCTCTAATCGCGAACCCTCTTCCTCAATCCTTAGTAAGGATTAAGGATATACTGTAGAATATATTGGTAAATGATCTTCGTAAAGATAAAGCTTTGCAAATTCAACTTTGGTCTTTTCCTAAAGGAAGATTATTTTAAGCCGTTCTGTTAAAGAATGGCATTAAATCTTTCATGGTATGGGAATCCAGTATTGAGATAATCTCCTTATTTACATGTGGAGTAAATGTCTCTTTACATTTTTAAAATCTGCCTTCAGATGTTTTTGCCTTGAGAAACAGATTCCCACTGATAAAATGTCCATTTGGCATAAGCCCCTAAATTCCTTTTAGGGTCAAAAAAACAAAGCAGAATCCCCATTGCTTATGGTTCAGAGCCATTTGGACCGGAATGAGCGCAGTGACCTCAGACAAGCTCAGCCTACCAGCCATGGCAGTCACCGGGACTTCAACACCAGCAGGGATTACGGCAATACTGCCGAGGTCTGCTCACTTGCACTTGAATGGAAAATGTTCTCCCAGCGTGGAAAATATGTGCTAGGCAGAGAAGAGAAGCAATTCTTTTCATTTCTGTTGTACCTCAGAAAGGACTCACAACTTCAGGAAGTAATTTATCTGTGTAGAAAACACGTGTATGTATATGTAGAATACACACTTATAAATTAAGTATGCAGACCTTTATAAAGTACACTTTTCAGTTTAGTATTTTGTAGAAATATACTTGGTATTGGAGTTTAATTATGTCAAGTGGCTTTTAGATCTTGATTTTTTCATATCATAAAATGAGCCACAAGACTTTTATAACTGAGCAGGAGGAAAGTAGCCAGCCAGCTTTATAGCTGCTTAGTTTTCCATTTTACTGGTTTCTGATGTATGCTTTATTTTCCCACTAGAATTTTTTTTAAAGAATTATTTTATTTAACTTTATGTGTTTTTTAATTTGGCCGGTGAGGGAGGGAGAAAGAGAGAGAGAAAGCTGCCAGGTCCAGGACTTGAACCGCAATCAGCCATGTGGGCATCCAGCACTCCTAACCATCACGCCACCTGCCAGCCCCTTCCCACTAGGATTTGTCATATGAGAGAAGGATGGTTGGCCTTGTGTAGCATTGTATTCCCACCACAGCTGTCAAAAAATGATTGGCTCCTAAGTGAGTGGATGGAAACAGGTGTGCCCACAGGTAAGCATTCAGGATTGTCAGTTCAAATGCCATTTTAGTAACTATTTGGTCAGTATCATTTTCTGTTTTTGTACATTGTGCTTCCTATACAGATTATTTAACTGTAGATTTTAATGACTTAAAAAAGAAAGGAACAGGCAAACACTGAAAGAACACGTCTTGAAAGCAGAAGACCCAGTCTTGAATGGAGTCCCCCAGGTGTTGGTCCTGTGGTCCTCTGTGTCCTCCCTCCCAGACGAGCAGGCAGTGAGACAGAACGGACAGCATCTCACATCTGCAGGGGAGGTGGTCCTGACCAGCGAGGATGTGGGAGTACTGTTGACGCCTCACTGAGATTATTAGTTGAATTGTAATTACCATGAATACATCATTTTGCCAAAATAAAATTTTATTAATAGAATAATTATAAAAATTTTAGAAGCAACTAGAGAAAGCCATAAACACATTTAAGTATCACTGGGTTACTTTTTAAACTGAGATCAACTTTATTTGATTTCCTGAGAATTCATTTCCTAGAATTCCGAACAAGAACGCCTCTTTCCAGTGCTCACGGAAGTACGACTTATTTTCCTGAGAAACTAAAGCGATTCTGGCCTGTGTCTGGCTAGGGCGTGAAAATGTGCGAGCAGCAGCCGGCCCACAGACTCGGCTAGAGTTCCACTAGCCCGAGTGACTAGCCCGAATGAAGATCCGCTACACTAGAATAATCTCTTAGATCACAGAGCATTAGTGCCTGAGTGTAGATGTATTTACGTAGTAGATGCAAGGAGGGAAGTAACAAAACAGTGATCGATCCTTAGAGAATACCATGTTCTGTGTCCATTCAGTCAATGAATTTTCGGGACTTTCTCATGGACCGGTGTTTAACTCAGCCTGGATTTTGTGAGGTGCAGGTGTCACCCACCCAGTGTTGTATGGTACAGTGAGTCCCTTCCGAAGCCATAGTTAAAACAAACAGGATTTAAATAAGGAGTGTTCTTGTGGTCTTAGATATCAAGATAGAAAGATTTCCTCCTTTTATTCATATGGCTTTGAGAGGTCTTCACCATGGACAAAAATCCAAGAAGCTAATGGGAAGAGTGAAGCATTTTTTAATTCCGTGATTCAGTAGCAAAAACACTAATGTTTGCAAATCACCTGAACGACATTCACCAAGAATAGTGACAGGCAATTAGCAGCCTTCTCTAAAACTACATTTTAGCCAAAATAGAACATTCCAGTCCTCAGTTATATCATGCAACGGCTTCATTGTTGTGATTAACAATGTGCATTGTATTTCTCTGCACAATGCAGCCTTCATCGAACTGTTTACTAATGAAAATAAAAATTAAAAAAAGTAAGAAATGTCCAATTAGTGGCATCATGCCTTTTTTTATGATTAAAGCACCCAGAATAATTTTACATTACTGGATTAATGTTTTATAATTTTTCAACTTGATTATGTATGATAGTTTAGAATATCTGTATTTAAAATATACTAAATAAAATCTGTACATACACTTGTTCATTTGTTTTTTTTTAAGTGCTACAAAAATCTCCCCTTCATTCTTAGTAAAAATACCGATTTCAGAGGATCCTATACTTTACAGTAGTATTTAATTTTAAAAAGCTATAAAGAAATAATTACATTAGTATACCTATCCCAAATTACACTGATGTCACAACCGTTTTATCTTTTAAACCTCTTGAAGAATTACACATCTCATAGCTATTTGGGGAATTTATTTCCCTAAAGCCCAATAAAATGACCTCGAGATTAGAATTTACTTGATTTTAAACAAAGTCCTTAGAAAATGAGGGTGTTACATAACGTTTTTTGCAAAGCCTAGGTGGCCAGTGAAATGTAAACCGCGTTCCTAAAGCGTCCCAAGGTAGTTTCCCGGTTGTTTAGGAGCACATCGGGTGGGGAACGGCTGCGGTGGAAGGGGAGAACGCGGTGGGAGGAGAGAACGTGGTGGGAGGGGAGAGGAGAGCTGCGGTGGGAGGGGAGGGGAGAGGAGAGGAGAGCTGCAGTGGGGAGGCTTCCTTGGGCTTTGCTCAGCGGCTCCCTGCCAGACTGCCTTTTCCTGGCGTGGTTTCTCAGCGGTCCGACAGGACGCATCAGTCCCAGGACCAACAAGTGGACACATTTCTCATGTCCATCTGGCCAGTTATTTCAGCCAGAGAAGCAGACCTGTGCTACTTATATGTCTTCATTTTTGTTGGGAGCTTTAGGGACACAACTTCTATATGTACACAAGTGAGCGTATATAAACGCACACATAGCCCACATTTTCCCACTCTTTTGGTTTGGGGGCATGCTCATCATCTCCACATACGGCAAGTGTGCATTTCTTTTGCTTTAACCCTAGGTGAACTGGAATTCACTCTCATTTGAAATTGGGTCTGTAAAGAATAATTAAAAACAAAGTCCCTGTATACCTAAAGTCTTTGAGTGCCCACCTAAAGTCAGGTTCAATCTTTTTTCTGTTACAAAGAAGCATCTTTAGTTCAGAAAATGTCTTGGCAAAATATGCCTGAAACTTTAGAGGGCAATTCTCTCTGAAGGATGCCCAAATGACAGTCCCGTGTCTAGAGCTGCGTGATAGCAGAGGTTATCCTTGGTGCCTGTCTTGTTCGAACAAAAATATTTACAGCTTGGCTCAGCACATGGAACACACATGCCCCATTTGTCATCTAAGTGATTGGGCGATCCACAAATACTTCCTCATTAAAGCACCATTAGCCATCATGTAAGATCGCTTTTGAAGGAGTATACGCTCAGAAATGGTTATAACAGTAAAGATAATAATAATAATAATAAACCTAGATGCTTTGTTCTCTCTAAGCTAATATGGTAGCCCTTAATTTTGAAAATCTAAATGCTGACATCTGGGCCTGAGGCGGAACGGTCCTCATCACTGTTCACTCTTTGCATCGCTCAGTGCTTCGCAGATTGCAAACGAACACACAGCCGGGGTCCTGGTCAGTGGTTAGGAGCAGCTACCCTACCCCAGGTTTGAGTCCCAACCCTACCACTTACTAGCAGTGTGACTTGGGCCAAACAACTTCACTTTTGGGCCACAAATTTCTATCATGAGTACAAAAGAGTTTCCACACATAAACCACTTAGAACAGTGTTCAGCATGTAGTATGCACTCAGTGTCAGCTGTTACCTAGCTAACAGAGTGCTCTTTTTCCCTTTAAAAATATTTTTAAAAGCTTCCACATCAAAAACTTTTAGTCAGTTGTTAGGCAATTCCTACATTTCTGTGTATTTAGTATGTTTTTGTTTTACACATATGTGTGTTACCACTACTATATACATGCATGTATAAACTGTAGAAGACATAGGGTATATGTATGTATGTATGTAAACATACATGCATATACAAGGGAAAAATATTTTTAAAACGAACGTATTTGAGACCAATATAGACTAGAATAAAAAAGTCACATGAAATTGAAAGACCTTATCCTTAGAGCCGACCTTTCATAAGTTACTCTTTCGGAAGATCCCCGCTTTTAAGGAGCTGGCCACTGGGGCCTGGGCGGTCTGCCCTGCTGTTGGCATAGTATCTGGCACATGTATGCTCTAGCACACACCCATGGGGTCACCCCAGCAGGAGGTACGGTCTTCCCTCGACCTTGACAAAGTAGCAGTTCATATCATCTGGAGGCCCCTTGCTTTTTGGTCCGATGTTCAGTTTTAGGAGGTAATCAGTCGATAGTGTGTCGGAAAACTGAGGCAGAGGCTGGTGCTCTCAGGCGTAGCTCATCTTCCCGAGATAGTTGGCTGGCACGTACCCTCTCTGCCCCTGAGCTTCCGCTAACCACCACTCCCTATTGCCACTGAGGTCACAGAATCGGAGAATGTGGACTCTCTGATACTCCTGGAGGCTGAGCTCATGGTCACTCCGGGCTTGAAAAGCATGAACTGCATAGAAAATCTGGATAAGGAAGCAAACGACATTATTGGAACCAGACCTAAAAATGTAGAAAGACAAAATGAAAGTTCCCAAGCTTTTAGACACAATGCTAATTTTCTTTGTTTTGTTTTTTTCTCCCTCACTTTGCCCAACTCTTTCTGTTGGGTTTCTGTTGTTTAAAGTGGGACCCAGATGAGGGGCAGCCAGTGGCATGGTGGTTAAGACGGCTGGATCCCACAAGTCAAATCCCAGCTCTAGCAGCTTGATAAACACACCAGGTACACGTCTGCACACGCCCAAAATCCCAAGAGGAGAAGGGAGAAGAGATTGCGGTGTGGCTATCCCCCTTGGGAGAGAGATTTTTCACTTTGTCTCTCTCTCTGGTGCGCACACGTGACCTACTACATATTAAAACCAGTAAATAAAATTTTAAAAACGACCCAGATGAAAATGAAATGAACTAGGCATCCTCATTGTTCTGTTAGCAGTCTAAGCTGTCCATGCCTGAGTGCAATTTGTCAGTTTCTATTAAAAGATATTTAAAAATGTTACTTCCTTTCGATTCAGTAATAGTTCTAAGAACCCCTTCCCAGAAATAAAAACACTGGCAGGGATTTTTTTCAGAGCCATGTTACCAAAATACCCACGTATCAGGTGGAAAGTGGGAGGAGAATGGGAGTAAGACTGAAAGTTCAGCTACAGAACAGTTCAATTCCAGACCCTTCTACTAAGGACATTTGTATTCATTAAAAATGGTGTTTTCTGAGCCTAACAGCATGTACAGTGCTGAGGATGAAACAGTGGGGAAACCCTTAACATCAGACGTACAATAAAAGTCTAATATTGTTAGTTTCTTTGAATGGCAGAATTATAGGAGATTTCTATTTTTAATTTCTTGTTAATTTCTTTATTTTCCAAGTCTTCATCACAACATGTATTAAATTTACAACTTTTAAATGTTAAGTGACTTAGAAGAAAGTAATAAAATGTATTTAAAGCAAAAGAACTTTTTCTGAATTTGAAGATTAGATGTGTTTAAAATTCCAAGGTAATTGTTTAGTCCCTCTTCCAGTAAAATCATAAGACTATGAATAAAAATGTTTAGTTTCATACAAAATTAATTGGCTAACAACATTTATGCATTTGTTATTTAATCAAAATTTATGAAATACCGACTAGGCGCTAGATCTGATTCTATCAGGGACCTTACAACCCAGCTAGGTAAATTAAAAATGTCAGCAAAACAGAACAAAAAGCACACCCTTTCTCCCCTCTAGAAAAAGGCCTACTGTACACATAAATGATTCCTGCAAGAATTCACAGCGTCCCGTCTAAGCGCTGCATACATGAGACTGCTGGCCGTGGAATCATTTGCCATTTTAAAAAGCGAAGAATTCAAAACGGGAGGTGCTGAAAATTCCTCAGCCATGGGATGAAGCACCTCCTAGACCGTTCATGACAGTTTTCTGGAAGTGCGCTTTGTCCTCTGTAACCCTGTGGGTGGCGACTGCGACAGGGAGCGCCTGGGACACCCACGCACAGGCTAATCTGCGCAGCTAGCCCCGTACCCTCCTACCCCAAATCCTGCGTGTGGTCCGTTTCTCACAACGTTTAGGAACCAAATTATTCTAGCAAGGACGTGTGAATGTGTTCTGGAAAGGGACTGAAGCCTACAAAACTGTTACTGTTTTGTCATTTTTATCACTTTTATAACATAAGCTTTAACGATGCAGCTATCAGTTTTTCAGATTGGATTACCTAATATATCAGCCCTAAATATTTGTGGGACTCCTGTTTTAGCACAAATACTCTTGAGGGGAATATAAAACCTCCTACCTAGATCTAGTTCATATGAAATGATAGCTTTTATGCTTTTTAAAGCTTATTTTAACTTCTAGGAATGATAGCAAATGCGCATGCAGAGCGCGAAAGCACCCTGACAGGATCTGCTCATTCCCGGATCCCCTTCTTGCAGCCCTCCAGCTCATAGGGTATTAGGCACATGTACTTCGCCTGGCCAGGCAGGTTGGCATGTGCGTGAGCACGAACAGGCTCCTAAGCACATGGGCACAGTCACATGGCCAAGCTTGTAGGCACGTGTGCGGGCACCTGGCCAGGCTCGTAGGCACGTGCGCACTCAGGCTCACACATGCGCAGACACCAGTCAGGCTCGTAGGCACGTGCGCAGACACCTGCCAGGCCCCTAGGCACGTGCTGGAACACCTGGCCAGGCTCGTAGGCACGTGGGCACTCAGGTTCGCACATGCGCAGACACCAGTCAGGCCCGTAGGCACGTGCGCAGACACCTGCCAGGCCCCTAGGCACGTGCTGGAACACATGGCCAGGCTCGTGGGCACATGCGCACTCAGGCTCGCACATGCACTGACACGTGCCAGGCTCCCAGACATGTGCTCGGACACGTGCCAGGCTCCCAGGCATGTGTGCAGACATCTGGCCAGGTTCCTAGGCACATGTACGGATGCCTGGCCAGGCTCATAGGCATGTGCACATACATTGGAGCTGGCATGTTTTCAGATCCACCAGGGTAGCTGAACCCCATGATCAGTCACGTGGCTTCCACCACTGTACTTTAGTTTGCTACTGACTATCACCAGGCTGGACCTAGTTTATATTAATATAGGCATTAAATATAGAGTCTTGTGAAATCATAAATTTAAAGTACAAAATTAGGGTGTGGTGGTTAAGGCAGCGGAATCCCACGTGGCCAATTGCACAATTCAAGTCCCAGATTTGGTGGCTCAAAAAACACCCTGGGCACATGTGCCGGCATGCCCCAAACCCCAAGAGGAAACGGGGAAGAAAGGTTGCGCGTGGCCATCCCCCAGGGTTGATTTCTCACTTTCCTTCTCTCCGCCTCTTTCTCTCTGGCAAGCACATGTGCCTTATAGCAAAAATTAAATAAGTAAGTAAAGGACAAAATTATAACTTACACTTTGAATGCTCTACATAATCATGGTCCAAAATTTATCGAGGATGAGCATTTTTCAGTTTTCATGAAATTTATGTTAAACGGAAGCATACCTTATAAACTGAGTGAAGTCGGCTTTTAAAGAGACAGCAGCCTATCTTTAGTCTCTTTTCAGCCTGTTTTTTAATGGTCTTAGTCTCTATGTTAGACAAGTCAGAGGGCTTCACCACCCTGCCATATAGTTAAGAGTTGAATGATTTCTCATTATTTACAATATTTTAATTATTGTAGTCTGTATCTTTCTCATTGTAACTGTTAATGTCCCTTAGTCCAGACACAGTAATTAAAATGTTATTAATTTGAGCAATATAATCATGTAATCCTCTTCTCTTTTCCTTGGCATTAGTGAAAATATATTTTACTGGTTGCTTCTGCACTTTGTAAATCGCTGGCTAATTTATGTACCGAATTCTCTGAGTACGACCCCGTGCTCCACGAGATTTGCCTCTTGCTTGTACTTAAGACCCTGCGTTACCGACTCATACCCAATGACGCCCCTGCTAATAACCTCCAGAGCTCTCCCGGAGGTGCCCCTGCCACCTCGGCGCTGCTTCGTTTTATAGTCGTGATTCAGTATTTCCCCGTGAGTGAGCCACACTTTGTATATGTTCACCGAATCTCATTCTGTTGCTTTCTTCTCAGCTCTCTAATCAACAGCAAGAAATCATAGTGTATTTTAATCTTCCTCTTCAAAATAAAAGGGCCACAAAACAGCATCCATGTATTACACGGAGCTCGGGAAGCCAAGATAGTTACACTGAATGAAAAATGTTCATTCTTCTCCTGCACCCTCTGGGAGAAAGCGCCCGTGCTCTTCATTCACAATTATATTTTGGGACCAGCAGTTGGTGTAATGGCTATGTTGCTGGACTCCCATGTAGTCGACAGCAGTTCAAGTCCTGGACCCGGGGGCTTAAACTCACACCGGATGTGTATTTTGTGCCCAAGATCCCAAGAGGAGAAGGGATTGCGGTAGGGCCATCCCCGGGGCGGGGGGTGTATTTCGCGCTTTCGATCTCTGTTTCTCTCTGTCTTTCTGGCAAGCACATGTGCCCTATAGCTAAAACCTCTCCAAAAAATAGATATATTTCACTACAGGAGTAATTCTGAAGAGACAATTTTAAATAAAACAGTTATTAATAAATTAAAAAATCCACCCAACTGCTATCAATATCTCCCTCCCTTCTTTCCCACCTTTCTTCCTTCCTTTTTTTCTACCTAAAGTGGAATGAAAAATGGGATTTTACTGCATGTATCTTTCCGACTTGTTTTCTCTTGAGAATATTTTTTGAAAATCCTTTCATGTCAATAAATAGCTCTCTAGAATATCACGTAGTGACTAATTCCTTAAACATACTATATGACACAGCCTGTCGGCATTTTGAATCACTTTGACATACAACGACAAAGCATGTCTAGTATGTCGAGACAAAGTTTGAATCACTGACATACAATAACATACTAGACATACATCTGTCATGCATGTGGCATCATCACCGTAGGTGAAGAATGGGAAGATGAAGAGCCATACCAGAACCTGGGGTGGTGGCTAGACAGTTAACTTTACAGAGGTCAAATTACGTGGTAGCGTTATTTCCCCGGTTTACGTAACCGACGTTATCCCCTCCCCCGACCGCGAGTGGAACTCGTTAGCGTGATGGGATTTCACTCCTGTGGCTAGGCTGCCTTGCCTGGCTAGGGTGAAGAGGTCCTGCCCAGGTACCTCATAAGGTCCCTAGAAGTTAGTCAAAGGGAGATTATCCCCGGTGGGCCTGACCTAATCGGAGGAGACCTCTGAAGGGAGATCTGTGAAGTCAGAGAGATGCTCACTCGAAGAAGAAACTGGCCATGTTGAAACTACCACCGAGACAGCCTCATGGCAAGGATCTAAGAGCACCCTGCAGGTGTGGAGAGTGGGCCCTGCGGATCACCACCGAGAAAACAGGCTTCGTTCCTGCTGGAAGGGGAAGTGAGTTCTGCCACCGACGGGCGCGGGAGGGAGCCCCGAGTTTCAGGAGCAAACAGCCCACGAACCCGGGCTGCGGCTACGTGGCACCCCGAGCAGGGACCGGCGAGCTGTGCGTGGGCCCCTAACGCAGCGAAGCGGCTGAGTCTGGTCACTCGTTACACAGCGAGGACACACACAGACCATGCTCTCCTGCTTGATGGCCAAAGGGAGAGACGCGAGGACGGAAGGCACTCTACTGCACTCCCTAGTCTCTGCTGTAGCCAAAAGCAGCGAGTACAGAAGTTACAAATTAAATCCATGGCGCGAATGAGTACTGCCAGGCTGTGAATATCCTTGAGCTCATCCCTGGATCATACTTTAGGGGTTCTAAAGCACCCAAGAAAAACTCAGCGTTCTGGGCAGGATACATATGGAGGACCCTAAATGCGTTGGTTCGGACGGCCCAGAAGGCAGGGTGACCATTCCTCCCGGTTAAACCCAGCACAGGGTGTCCCCAGGAAGCACTCTCTCATTAAGGTCCCACTCCAGATGGTAAGTGGCATTGTCACCGTATCTGTAGGATTCCTGATCCATTAGAAAATGTTGGAGGCTCTTTAAAATATTCATGGAGAACATTTACATTGAAAAAAAAAAAACTACGCATGGATTTCACATTATTCTTCACCAAAGTGAATTTGTACTTTAGTTTCTTTTTTTGTATATTTTTGAGGCCCCACTCGTATTTTCACTGTTCACTAAAATCTTATGATTTTCAGGTGCCTCTAAGGATCTCTACAGGGGATTGTTCTCTTAGATTGTCACACAAGTGGAGGGGTTAGCCTCTGTCCTCTCCCCCCACATTCTCTGAGCCAGCAGGGTGGCAGCAGCAGCCCTCCGGCCCAGATTAGGAAAATCATCTAATCCCTTGCTCCCAAGGGGTGAAGAGTAGCCGCTTGGGGGGGGGGAACTCTCAAACGACTTGACTGCGTGCTGGCATTACGCGTTCAGGGGATATTCCTCTGTGGACCTTGCTTCCTCTCACCCTTGCAGTGGGTTCCCGACAGGTGCATCCCCTTTCCCTAGCAAAATTCAGGGCAGATTGCATGGGGTGGCCTTTGATTTGAGCTAAGTAGCTTCAACTCCAGGAGAAGGTGTCCAGGGAGCCTCGTAGCCATAGGCATAAGATGCATTTTCTGACTCAGTTTTATTCATAATAATTCTTACACTTATATCCCTGACGCCAATGTCTATTTCCAACTGGTCCCAAACTTAGAGGAAAAGGACAGCGAATAACACTGTCCCATCAATATATTTTGTTTTGAGCAGAAGAAAATGATCTCATCTTTGCCCCCTCTCGGTAGTGGAAACACCTGAGGGACTAATTCACCTGACATGTATCAATAGGGTTCGTGGGAGCGAACCGCTTTGCAGTAGTAGCTCGGTCGGGACCAGGCGGAGGCAGTCTCACGGCACAGAACCCCCCGGGAGCCCACGTGAGGTGTGTGGTGCGAGAGTCCCTGCAAAGCCCAGTGAGAACTGGGACACGCCACCACGCTAGCTTCGGCTGTCTTCCTAAGTCTGGTCCTCAGGTTTAAGGAATGAAGTAGCTATTTAGGTACGACTGTGTCTAAAATACATTGCGTAGTGAACATAAATTATGTAACAATGCGATGGTTCCCCTGTGTAAAGAGATGTGTTTGTGTGTGCAGAGGAGGGCGTGGGAAATGTACACCATCGTCTCTGAAGAGAAGGACTGCAGGAGACTAGAATAGAGATCTCAGGTTTCATTTCTGCTACAATTTTAACTTTAAACAAATAGCATATATTACCTTTATAATTGTTTTATTAATTAGTAAAATATCACTAATAAAAAATTAAAGAAAAGAATAAATTATTTTGCTACCTTTGAAGATTAACACTCAATTATATTGAAACTTTCTGAGGTAGCAAAACCAAACCCTATTATAATTAATTTACTTTTTTTTTTTTTAGTTTGCCATAGGGGGGGAGCACATGTGTTCACCAGAGAGAGATAGAAAGGGGGGAAAGTGAGAAATCACCCATCATGGGGGAGCCATGCTGCAGTCCCCTCTCCTCCACCCTCCTCTCGGGATTTTGGGCACACACGCACATGTGCCCGCATGATTTTCAAGCTGCTAGGTCCAGGACTCAAATGATACAGTTGACCATGTGGGATCCAGCACCTTAACCTCCACACCACCTGTGTCCATATAATTAACTCACTATTTCGTGTGAAGAGTATACCAGTAGCTTTTGCATTGGTGCAATGAGGGAAAGGAAGCTCTTAAAAAGTGTCATCACGGAGCCAGCTGGTGGGGTAAAGGTGGCTGGCTCCCACACGGCTGACCAAGGGAGGTCCCAGATCCAGGAGCCTGAGAAATACACCAGGATCACGTGTGTGCGCGCACGTGTGTGTGCGTCCGAAGTCCTGAGAGGGGAGTGGAGAAGGGATTGCCATGTGGCCATGCATCTGGGAGTGCTTCCTCACTCTCTCTCTCTCTCTTTTCTTCCTCTTGCTGGAAAGCACATGTGTTCTATAGCAAAATTACAAAAACAAACAAAAAGTCCCAGCCTATAGTGTATGGTGTTATACAAGAGATTACAGTGGTCCATTACTAAGTAGCTCCACGGAAGCTCTGCTTTCGGTGGGCTGTGCACAGTTTCCCACGTGGTGTGGACGGCTGCACTCTGTCCAGCACCAACCTGCTTCTCTCTGACAGGGAGTATAAGAACTCCATCCTCACTCCTCTCGGAGTGCACGGCAGCGGGTAGTGACAGGAAACAGCTCCTGTTTATTGCATGTCTACTCTGCTGGGGAATTAACACGTACATGCTGTCTCCAGTCCTCACAGCAACTCTGCAAAGCAGGATTATTGTCATCTCTGCTTCATCTGAAGAAACAGGTCAGATCATTAAATTCCTCACAAAATGGTCCACAAAGTATGTGTTTCTGGAACAAGGTCTCCTTGAGGTGAATGCCTACACCGTCCCCGTCCCCGGCGCCACCTTTTGGGTGACCTGGTGGCGTGCACCTGCACTGTGTAGGAGGCGGGGGGG